TGGGGCCTCCCACCACCCTGCCTGCCCCATCCTCCCTGCTGGATGGAGACAGTGGGCGCAGCCTTTGCCCTCAGCGCCCCTCCCACTGGAGGTCATAGCCCCTGTCCCAGATGACCTCACTGTCCCAGTCCTGTGTATGTGGACCCCACCCCCAGCTGCCACAGCCACCACCTCCCAAGCACTGACCCACCTGAAAGAGCCAGTCCCGGTGAGGACTTGAGAAAGCCATCCCTAAGGCCACGCCTGTGCCCCTGAGGACGGGGAGGGCCAGTTCCTGAGCTGCGACACGCACCCGTGCACACCGGCACCGCTGTCGCGTTGCCTGATGACTTGAAGGATAACTACAGTGCGTGGCCCCCTCCCAGCACCGCGGGGGAGCCCTCCCGTGGTGGGGCAGGGCCGGCTCGGACGCGTCTGACCCTCACATCCCCATGATGCCGGTACTACGATCCCCACTGTGCTGATGGGTAAACAGAGGCACTCGGGGCCGATCCTGGCAGACTTCTTGTTTGCTGAAGCTTTTCTGTGTTCTGAGGCAGGGAGGGCTGACGTTGGAGCCGCCTGGGTGTCCCTTAGGCCCTCCAGGGCTTCTCACCCTCGGCCTTGAGGACATTGAGTCGGACAAATCTGTTTTGTGGGAGGGGCCGTTGGACGGCATCCTTGGCCTCAACCTGCTACATGCCAGTCCAAACCCCTCCGCTCAAGTTGTGACAATCAAACATTCTCCAGATGCCACCAGATGTCCCAGAGGGGTAGAGGCACCCTGCTCGAGCACCACTGGCTAGGAGCTAGGCCTGGGGACACTGCAGCCTTTCCAGGGTGTTCCCAACGTGGGGAGTGGGGTGAGGGCAGCTGGAAAGCCGGAGGACTTCCTGGAGGTGGGCGTGGGGCACCGAGACCACCAGCCTGGCCAAGGAGGAGAGCGAGGCGGCCACAGCCCGTCCGTCTGCCTCCCCCTCCTCTCACCCGGCTGTGCGTCTGAAGCTGGAAAGAAATGCCCCCAGCTGACCCGCCTGAATGGACGTCACAGAATGAGCATCCCCTGCGGAAACTCTGGTCCTCAGTCCTCCTGCTAATCTCTGGTTCGTCTCTCGGGGGGGCGGGGGAAACAGAGGCCGCCCAACTTCCCAGTAAGACCCAGGTTTTCAAAGTGTGCTGTACCGTTACCCGCCAAGCTGTTAAATGCCGCTTCCCCAGCCTTGGGGGCAGAGAGTGTGAGTCAGTAGGTCTTGGATGGGGTCCAGGAATCAGCATTTTACCTGTCACCTTGGAAACTCTCGATGTTAGTGACCGTGGGCCATACTTTGAGAAACGCTGCAGCGTTAGCCAATCACATTAAGATTGTGTACGTGAACATCTTGGTGCTTTAGCTGTGTGTGTGTGTGTGTTTCTAAAAAGACAATCAGTAACATATCAATAGTGATTTCTGAGTGTAATGTGATTTCAACAGATTTTAGACATATCTCTCTATCCTGTATTGTTGTAATTGTTTATAAGGAGCGTATGTTTATAAGCAGATAAGCCATCAAGCCCTTCTCACCGGCGGGGAAGGGCAGAAATGTTATAGAGGAAATATTATCTAGGAAATGGGTTTAAAGGAAGTGTGGACGTAGGGAATGAAGGCCACAGTGTCAGTGGATCTATTTTAACTCCCAGATCGGTGTCCCTCTCTCTCTGTGGCTCCCAAGTCCCGAGCTGGCCACCAGTGGCCTGGAGAAGGGAGGAAGGTCGCATTTTGACATTGTCTATTCTTGGTAAAGCAGGGGCCAGAATCACCCCAGGGGGTCGGGGAGACTGGCCTTGAGCCAGAAGGCTAGGCCTCCCTCTCTGTCCCTGTCTCTTGGGCCCCTGCTGGGCGACCTCGTCCTTCACTCTGCCCGGGCACTTGGGCACCTGGCCAGCCAGGCAGACCCGGGATGGCAATTTTACAGCCCTGTTATTGCTCTGCTGTTGCCCCGCAAACCCATGCCAGGCCCCACAAACACTCTGTGAGAAGGCCAGACCCTTCCAGAAAAATGGCTCCCTACATCTTTACAACGTGATAGGTGCGGCGGAAAAAAGGGGCCACTGGGTTTATGGAAACTATATAAAGTTTATAGAGTCTGGCCAGGCCAGGAGTAGAAAGCCTTCGGGATGGGGGTGGGGATTTCGAGAGGGAGAAGGTCATGAAAGCACGTCAGACCTTTGTGTTGAGGCACCAAACAGAACAGCGTAAGTCCAGGGCGTGCTGTGCGTCACCTGGGAACAGCCACCTGGGATGCCTTTTGGGGCGATGCCGTTGAGTCTTGGCCGCATACCCCTGAGGAAGGCACGGCTCTGCGCCTTCTGTAGAAGGGAGACTGAGGCGAAGCGATGTTGAAAGTTCTGAACTTGCTTAAGGTTGCACAGCTAGGGGTGGGTGGCTCCCAGCTGAATGTTCTGGGGCAGGCTAAATTCTCCCCGTCTCTGTCTCTCCTGTGTATTGAGTGATGTGTCCCAGTTTCAGGTTCAGAAATTACGGTCTCCGTTTCCTATTTCAGTTAGGGACTCATCTGTTATTTGTGATTTAGTCTCACGGTCCCTGGTGTCTTCAGTCATCACGTTCCCCTCCTGTGGGTCAGCTGTGCTGTCGAAGCTGCATCTGTGCGCAGATTCACCTGGAGGCCGTGGCTGGAATGGAAATGAGGCCTCCCAGAGGTTGGCCGTGGACCAGGGCGGGGCTGGGACGCTGCCCTTGCCTGTAGGAGCCCTTCCATGTCCCACTTCTACTGCAGGGTCCTCATAGGGCCCCCGGAAGAGTAGCCCCTGGGGTCTGAAATCACCTCCCGTCCGCATCAGCCCTAGAAATTCCTGATTTCTCCTTGCACATGTGAGCTGTAGCATCCATGCTTTCTCTCCTACCTGGCTGTAAATTCTTGGAGTGCAGATTCCAAGGATATTTTCTTTATTCTCTGATTTTGCCCACAGGGTCTGGCTAGTTTCTGGGATGTAATGGTGTTACAGACTAAGTATCAGCTAGGAGAATGGAAGGGTGGATGGATGGATGGATGGATGGATGGATGGAAGACAGGAAGGAAAGATGGATGGGCACATGGATGCATGGAGGGAAGGAAGGAAGGGAGGGAGGGAGGAAAGAAGGAAAGATACATGGCCGTATGGATGGATGGATGGTTGGATGGAAGGACGGATGGATGGACAGACAGATGCGTGGGTGGGTGGACAGATGAGGCACATGTAGACTAACAGACATCCACTTCCTCTTTTGCATCCTTCTGCACAGTTAAAGCAGCCGTCCAAGCCAGATTCTCTCAGGCTTTCACTGAATGCACTTCTGTTTCAGGGGACACCCTTCGCTCTCTCTCAAGCCATATGGAGAAACCAGCCCGAGTGTTTGAATGTGTGTGTAAATACTTTACAATCTCATAAACTTGTTTAAAGACAGGTGGGGGGTGAGAGTATAAACCAGGGCAGCCTTTGGGGAGGGCAATTTGGAAGTAGCTATTAAATTTTTAAATGTGCCCACCGCTAAGCCCTGCAGCCTCACTTTTGGTTGTCGGGCCTGTGACATAGATTCACACGCTTGTGCACAAAGAACCACGCAGCAGGGCGCTCAGGCAAGCGTGCCAGCCACCGCACAGCTCGTAACAGTGAAAAAGTGGAGAGGGCTAGGTGCCATCGACGGGACGGCAGCTGAGCCCTGGCGCACCGCCCCCCCAATGGCCAATGATACAAAGACAGAAAGGTCTCAAGTGGGGTGGGGGGGAGGGGCAGGGCACTCTTCAGTCTTCTGGAAAGTTCTGAGACACTCTGTAGCTTCTGGCCCTCAGCAAATGCCCCCCTCCCCACCCCATTTCTATCAACTTCTTTCCCCTTCTTCCTCTTCTACCCACGAAGCACAGTTTACTGGGATTAGATCTTTAGTTCTTACGCCTCCTTGCTAAGTGACCTTTCCTTACAGCAAAGGAGGGAAAATGAGAGAAAAGCAGTTATGCGCAGAAGTACTGTCTGCCAGCTCTTCAATTAAAATGATTGAAAGCCACAATATTAAAATTTGATTTATGGGCACCACTATCTACCTAATAATGAGGCTGAGAGGAAAAAAGAACCGTAGTCATTACAGAAAACCGTAGCTCTTTTTCTCCCTTAGGAGATAAATTGCCTCCCATTTTCTTATTGCCAAAGAAATGTGCCAAAATGGTTTTACGCTTATGTGATACGTTCTTCGAAAACGTAGGATTTCAAGGAAGCTTCCTGAAGGGCGTAGCAGCCGGGGCTGGGGAGGCTGCTTCCGGTTCCACCAAGCACCCAGACCTAGGTGCTAGCCCCATTACCCATGGTCCGGGTCCTAGGCCACCAAGCCAGCTAATGCCACAGAGCCCAGGAGTGAGTGAGAAACACACAGGGTCCAGCTCCAGGTCCCAACTTTGCTGCGCATAAGCTATTTGATCCTCCATCTCTTAATCTGTAAAATGGGAATAACTTTACTAACTGTGTGACATGGGGCAGGTGCCCCAGTTTTGTTCTGTGTCTGAAAGAAAATTTTACTGTCTGTCTGAATTCATGGCTATTTAAAATAGTTTTTTAATGTTTATTTTTGAGAGAGAAAGAAACAGACAGAGTATGAGCGGGGAAGGCTCAGAGAGAGAGGCTGACACAGCATCTGAAGCAGGTTCCAGGCTCTCAGCTGTCCGCACAGAGTGCAAGGCAGGGCTCGAACTCATGACCTGTGAGATCGTGACCTGGGCTGAAGTCGGACGCTTAACCGACTGAGCCACCCAGGCGCCCCTGAGTTAATTCATGGTTATTTGTTCCAGTTCGGATGCTGTGGGGTTGGGCCAGGGAAAATGGATTCTAGGTGCCACGCAAGCCCTTGCCGATCCCCTTCTGAGCAGGGTTTCATTTCCACAGGGGACCCTCCAGGGGAATGTCTGCCATCCACCTGGAATCCCCCTAGGGAAAAGGGGGGCAGCATTTTGCACGTACTTCTTTACGCCCAGCTAATGGCTTTTCTTTGTTTTCAGTTGAGAGGGAAAATGTGCAGAAGAGAACCTTTACTCGATGGGTAAATCTGCATCTAGAGAAGGTAAGCAGGGCACTTGGGTTTTTGTTACGAGATTTCATCCGTGACTGAGCATGCAGCCCAGTGGTGCAGGGAGGCGGAAATGGTCGCTGTGTATGTTTTGCTGTTACTTCTTTCACCCATTCATTTAAACATCTAGTGAGTACATTTCACTAGCAAGTGTCGAGCACTGATCTGGGAACATGGTTTTGCCATCATGGGGTTACCAGTCCATTTGGAGAAGGAGAGGGTCTATCTTTAAGTAGGAATCAATGAGCAAATGTTAGAAGACATTTTTTGTTGAACGCTCCAAATGCTAACCTGGACACAGGGACTGGGGTGGGGACGGGGGTGGGCTTCCCATACAGGGAGGATGGTGGGGGACTCTCAGCAAAATACATTTGTAGGAACCTGAATTGGCTTATGCAAGAACTCAACACCTTTTAACAAAGCCAGATTCCCTTGCTAATTACAAAATGTTGCTATTGATCAATAACATTACCTGCCCTGTTTGGCACGTCAGGCAGCCTGCTTAGTGCACCACACACAAATTGATTTCCTTCAATCCCCATGACAACCCTCGTCACCCCTCCTGTGAGCAGTGAGGAAAAGAGGCTCTGAGACCAAAATGGTTTTCCTAGCAACCCAGAAGGAAGCTCTTTCAGGGGCATGGCATTCCACTCCTTTCCCCGCTTTCCTTTCTTGTGGACATGGTCTGGCCAGGCAGTTTGCAATCACATTTGGTCTGCAAGCTTCTCAGCTACATGCACCGTAAAACAAAAGGGGCTCCTGAGGAGACAAAAAGATGAGCACCAGCGGAGGGGTGGGTTGTAAAGTGGATAAACAGCTCAGGATCCAGCAGAAAATCAGAGCTCTCCGCGCACACCAGTTTGCCCCCAAGGCAGGGAACCTTGTAACTTGCCCCGGGCTGGGGGCAGAGAGCTTCTTTTTCTCTTTATAAGACCCTCTGATTTATCAAGATTCATTTCACTCCTGTCATTTCTTCTTAAATTCCATGATCTGATTCTCCAAGTAGACGCAGCCCGGTCGCCTCATCTCCTTGTAAAGCTGGTTGTGTTCTCAGCGAGGTTAGGTGTGTGGCATTTCCTCTCTCCACCTATAAGTTACGGCAGCAAGTACTGACTGCCCTTGGAGCTGACTCAAAAGAAAGGTTCATGGAGGAAGTCGCTGAAATGATTAGATCCCCAAGAAGAGAATTGTGGTTTTTCGGAAGCACAGCGCTTGACCAAAACTCTGATTTGTGTAGTTTACCTCTAGACTCATGATATTTCCCGAGCAGCCCTTGCCCACCCACACCTCTATCTCGCACCAGCACGGTGGGTTTCCCTTGACCCAGGAGGGCTCCCGAACTCCTTGGGATGAAGCATCGTAAATCATTTGCCAGTTGTTTTGACTGTTAGTGCATTTTCGGCAGTGCTCATAAAGCGAAGTGTTATTTTTTTGGCGGGGGGGGGGGAAGAAAGGAAAACCGTTCCCCCAATCTGAGTTTGCTGAGCTCCTAAATTAATGTCTGATGTGTGTCAGGGTAGCTGGAAATTCCTCCGGGTGGATGGAGAGTGGCTATGGCATATTACTTCTCTTTTTTTTAATTGAAAAACAAATATAGAAAAGGACGGAGGCTAATGCCGCAAATACCCATGCACTCACTCACCACCCTCTGCGAGCCTCCGTTAGCATCCTCCTATCAGAGTTTCCTCCGTGGCCATGCACACTTCTGTCCCTTTTGGGGGGCAGGAGGGTAGCCCCGCTCTGAGGTTAAATCAGACAGCGCCTGAAACCGATGCCTAAAAAAAAGGGCAAAATTAACAGCCATGTTACCAACCTTGAAACTTTCAAGACCAACCTTTCATGTAAAGGAAACCCAGGAACTCCTCAGGGACTTGGACTTAACTGCAATTTGAAGGCTGTCAGAAATATTTACTGAGTCTCAGGCTTCTGGAAAAATTCCTTAATTGACCGAAGGAGTTAGATCACGAAGCCCTGGGGGTGCTGTTTACTCGGCCATACCGATCTCATGAAGCCCGCAGAACGTCTGGGGCCCGAGCGGTGTTTTCGCTGGAGCGGATTCAATTTCTCCTTCTGCCGCCTCGCAGGACAGATGGACGGACTCCGGCCAAGGGCCCCGTTTGCCGCTGCCGAGGCTCTTACAGACGCCGTCAGTGGAAATCACTCTCCAGGTTCAACTCACAAGCGAGGCTTGGCCCCGGCCAGGGCTGGTAACTGGAAATTTTGTTAGCCCATCCATCAGGGGGTGTTCTGTTCGGCCGTCACGTTTTCTGCCTCGCATTAGCAGGAATAACATTTCCGTAAGAGTCTCCGTAACCCGATGCCGTCATGTTCCGTGTGGAATGTGCCCAAGGATCTGTGGGAGTTTGCAGAGAAAATAATGTGCCTTTTGGTTCAAAGTCGCTGTTGCCCTTGAAGCAAATCCCTTTTCTGTGCACCTGTGGGAGGAATCGCCCTGTATGTGGATGAACTGGGGGGTCAGGGGGCTCGTATAAGGGGGAAGGAAATGCCACCTTCCTTAATAAAAAAATAAAAAAACAGGAATTCTCCAAAGCTGTCATGGGAAGGAGGCCTTTCCCAGAGGGCAAAAGGTGCCCAGACCACAGGTCCTCCATGTTCCTAAGACTTCCTCACCCCTGGGTCTCTGGCTGGTTACAGCTGCCAGCCACCCCCACCCCAATCCCGTCTCCTATGTGAGAACCCCATTCTCTGCACCCAGGATCAGAGAGAGGCCCCTGCTCAGCTGTTCTTATGCAGCCGAAAGCCCCGCTACAAAAAGGGAAACAGAGAATCATACTGGGGTGGGGGCTTATTAAAAACTCCACATTTCCAGGACCCCCATTCCCTGAGATTCTGTACAGTAAGTTCTAATCATACTGCGTTAAAGTGGGTATTATCAAGCTGGTTCAGTCAACAGAAACCTTTCTTCAAGCAAAGTGTTCCCCGGAACCATAAAGAAAGGCCAGTAAGAACGGATCCTCTCTGATCGGAGGGGGTGGAGTGGATCAGACTCTTTCTCAGCACCCCTCGGTCCCCATGGGGGTCCCTGAAACTGCTCCAGTGAAGTCTAGGGTTCCGGGAAACACATTTGCAAACCCTGGTGCTGGAGTGTCTGACCGCCAAGTTCGACGCCAGGAGCCCCAGGCCACGTGTCCAGCCAGACTCCCGGTGGGCACAGCGTGGTGCCAGTCACCCAGACAGTGGGCCTCTCCACCGTGTCCCACCCAGGCCCCCCTTCACACTCCAGCTCATGGGAGCAGAGTTGCCTTTGCCCCCGGTGAGAGGCAAGAACTTGGTGAGCCGGAGGTGAGGTGGCCCAAGTGACCTGTTAAACCCAGAAAGAGAAGCCAGGGGGGTGGAGAGAGGGTAATTCAGGGCCGTTCCCCGCGGAGGGGTACCAGCCACGGACATCTCCGTTTTCTCATGTGCAGCCATGAGCCGTAACCCCTGGATGAAAAGCCTTACTACAGAGAGGACCCCGAGACTCCGCGGGAAAGGAGCCACTTAATAAGCTGGTTTTACTGACCCATTCACCTAGGAAGGCAGGTGCAATGCCAGGGACTCTCCCTGCAGGATCTCACTTCAGGTTGGCCCCTGTGCTCCGAGACCTTGCAGGGCAGGACTCTGGGGCCCGGGGAGGGTAAGGAAAATATCCAAATCTCTGTTGAGGGTATAGAACCTGGACTTGAACTCGGGTATGTCTAACTCCTTTGCTTCTTAGCGAAACAGGTAGAAAGTGCATTGGTGTCCTTAAGAAGCCCGGATTTTATGGAGGATCAGAGTGGCATTTAGAATGCTGATTCAGTTTTTAAGGGGCGCCTGGGTGGCTCAGTCAGTTGAGCGTCCCACTCTTGATTTTGGCTCAGGTCATGATACCAGAGTCATGGGATTGAGCCCCGAGTCTGGTTCCAGGCTAAGTGTGGAGCCTGCTTAGGATTCTCTCCCCCTCTCTCTCTCTCTCTTTGTCTCTCTGTCTCTCTCTCTTTCTCTCTCCTTCCAGCCCTCTCCCCCCACCCCTCTCTAAAATAAAAAAAAGAATGCTGATTAACTTTTTAATACGATTTTAATTAGTTTGATTTGTAGCAATAATCGTGTATTACGTTTGTAGCTAAACATGTAAGTAAACACGAACGCGTGAACATGTACGGATTAAATCAGCCTCCCAACCTGTGAGGTCCGAACAGGCCTGCACACTTGGTGGGGACGCAAGGGTTCTCCCCCTCTCCTGACCCCCCCCCACGGCCAAGTCACCCACACTAGCTGCCTTCCTGGCTTCCTCTGCCAAGCGCCCCACCACCTCCAGAGTTGCACTGAATCAGCTGGTGCCTCAGGAACGTGTGCATACAGAGACAAAGCAGTATTGGAGATGGGGGAGGGGGGGTCGCTGTTGTGTGTCCTGAGGCCCAGAGGGTCTCTGACTCAGGGTCATGCCATCGTGGTGTGGATCCCGGCAACACCTGTGGGCAGCCAGTGAGTCTTGATGAAGAAACAGGACTAACCATACAAAGAGCCGATTTGACCAAATTACTGAGCGTGTCACCTAGCCTCTCTGAGCCTCAGTTTCCCCAAATCGAAAGGGAAGGGGTTACGCTGGGTAATTTCATGAGTCCTACTGGCATTATTTTATTCTATGGAGGGCTGTCATCAACACAAGCCCGTCATTTCTCCCCTTAAAGAGGAGCGTGGCTATAATGTCATTTGGGGGTCTCAGATCTCCGGGTCCCCAGGCCGTCCAGGGTCACTTGTTTGAGTGGTGCTCTGGTGCTGAGTCTGCTCCTCCTTGACTATCCGGCACCCTCTCTCCCCCAGGGGCTGCCTGCAGACAGATCGGGAGGTCTGGAAGTCTTCCCTTTTGGGGGTGGGGAGGAGAATTGAAGCTCGGGAACAGTTTGAGGGATTCTATGGTCACTAACCAGCTTCTCCCCACCCCCTTCTTCCACAGTGCGACCCACCCCTAGAAGTTAAAGATTTATTCGTTGATATACAAGATGGCAAGATCCTAATGGCTTTGTTAGAAGTCCTGTCTGGGCGGAATCTGGTACGTATGTCACAGAAGGATCAGGGCAAAATAAAAGGCAAAGTCAGACACTGCCTTCAGGGCTTTTTTCAGTACAGAACTGTGTGTAGGACACACACCTGGCCACGTGTGATCTTGTGACCAGAAACTTAGGTAAAGGGACATTCCTTTCTCAGTGACCGGGAGTGATACAATCATGTGTAACTAAGCAGTATCCTCCTTGGTTGTTTTTTTTTTTTTTTAAAGTAAATATACTTTAGGGGCGCCTGGATGGCTCAGTCGGTTAAGCATCCAACTTTGGCTCAGGTCATGATCTCACCGTTTGTGGGTTCAAGCCCTGCGTCGGGCTCTGTGCTGACAGCCTGCTTCGGATTCTGTCTCCCTCTCTCTCTGACCCTCTGCTCATGCTGTGTCTCTCTCAGAAATAAATAAAACATTTTTAAAAAATTTAAAGTAAATATACTTTAATAAGTAAATAAACAAATGTCCAGTGTTTTCTGTAAGTCTCTTAAGGGTAAAGACTGGTACCAGATCATTAAACTTGAGCTCTCCAACCATTATATTAACATGAAGGATAGCCAAGAATCAGGAAGATTGAGGAGAAAGGCATCTTACCAACTGAGTTCCCTTATCCTCCGGAGGCTAAAACTACAACTGCCGGCTTCTAGAACCTTCTCATTAGTATAGTTATTCCCTCTTATCTGTGGGGGATACATTCTGACCCCCAGTGGATGCCTGAAACTGCGAGCCCCATATATACTGTTTTTCACTCTGCATACATCCCTGTGATTAAGTTCAACTTATAAATTAGGCACATTAAGGGGTACCTGGGCAGCTCAGTCGGCTGAGCGGCCGACTTCAGCTCAGGTCACGATCTCACGGTTTTAAGTTCAAGCCCCATGTCGGGCTCTGTGTTGACAGCTCAGAGCCTGGAGCCTGCTTTGAATTCTGTGTCTCCCTCTCTCTCTGCCCTTCCCCTACTTGTACTCTGTCTCTGTCTCTCAAAAATAAATAAACATTGAAAAAAAATTAAATTAGGCACAGTAAGAGATTAACAACAATCACTAATAATAAATTAGAAGAATTAAAACGATTCACTGGAATAAAAGCTGTATGAATATGGTCTCTCTCAAAACACTGTATTCCATCTTCTTGCGACAACGTGAGGGGATCAAAAGCCCATGTGATGAGGTAAATCGAGGTGAGTCACGTGGGCTCTGTGACGTAGAGCGAGGCCACCGTTGAGTCTCTGACCACTCGTCAGAAGGAGGATCATCTGCTTCAGGGCGTAGTTGATGGTGGATAACAGACCCAGGAAGGTGAAACCGTGGGCAAGGAGGGGCTGCTGTATAAACCACATTGAGCTGAACCAGCCCATCTTGAGGTCATTGCACTTGGGACCCCCGTGTACCTCTCCACGTGGCATACGTCTGCCGTGTGCGGGTTGGCCCTGTCTCCCCCCTTCCCAGAGCAAGGCCGCTCCACCTCAACACTGCTGACTTTGGGTCCGACATTTGCAGTCTTGGGCACCGCAGTCGTGGTCTCTACCTCCTGGGTGCCAGTAGCAACCCTCAGGTATGACAGCCAAAAATGTCACCAGGTATTGCCAGATGTCCACGGAGAGGGCGCAGTGACCCGGCCCAGATGCAGTGGTGTCGATGTCAAGAAACCCTTCTCCAGAGTCTACGTTAGACGTGGCGCCCGTGAGCCAGCATTGCGGCTAACGTGAGGACGCAGCCTGGGTCCCAGCCCCACCAGCCCACGGCCTGGCCAGTGTGGACCTCTCCAGATCCGGTTCTGGCCACAGGCGTGAAGTCAAGAGCCCCTCTGGTTTTCAGGTCTAATGTAGCTGGAATCTCATCGCACCCCCTAACTCCTGCCATCTTACCCCTCCCAAAGGCGGAATGGGAGGTGCCCGTTAGCCAGCTGCTCCGGGGGGCCGTGCGGAACCATGTCATGGACTCTCTCGAAAGGTGGACCCGTGACCGTAAAAACAGTGCTGGGTTCTTAGCAGGTCTCACAGTGAGCCGGCAGCCCAGCCCCCAGACGGCTCCCGGAGCAAGTGCATCGGGGCTCATTCTCTGTGTTCTAGCAACACAAGCTCCCACTTCATTGCTGGGGTCCCTGGCTGATAGACGCCGAGTCCTTGCTGGGCCTCCGCTGGCAGCCTCTGCTTCTAGAGTCCTGCCCAGAATAAGCCTCTGCTCACCGAGAGTCCGGCTGGCCGCTCACCGCTGGTGGGGCTGATCCCACTGGTCTGCTTTGCAATCTGGCCACCCATCTGGATGGGTGCTTCAGGCTGGGGGGGGTTCCTTGGACTATTTGACTGCTGTTGTTAGTATTTTAGCTTCTGCAAGTGCCCTCATCTCTCCCTGTTTACCTCCTGTCTTTCTGTCTTTCTCTCCATCTCTGTTTCTGTCCGTATGTCTCTCTCCTCTCTACCTACTTGTCTCTCTCTCTCTGTCTCTCTTGTCTATCTCTCCACCTGTCTCTGTATTTTTTCTCTCTTTCTCCTCTCTCTGCGTGCCTGTCTCTCTGCCTCTGTATCTCTTGTGTATCTCTCCACCTCTCTGTTTCTATCTCTCTCTCTCTCTCTCTACCTACCTGTCTCTCTCTGTCTCTTGTCACTGTCTCTCTCTCCATCTGTTTCTGTATTTCTCTCACCTCTCTTTCTCTGCCTGTCTTTCTGTCTCTGTGTGTGTCTCTGTCTCTTTCTTATCACTCTCCATCTCTCTGTTTCTGTCTGTATTTCTGTCTCTGTCTCTGTGTCTCAGTATCGCTCTCTCTGCCTGTCTGTCTGTCTCTGTCTCTTCTCTGTGTCTCTGCCTGGCTGTCTCTGGCTGTGTCTCTCCCCCACCTGGGATAACTGTCCACAGAGCTCTCGGCCAGAAAACAGAAACATCTGGTGCCTCCAGGAGGGACTTGCCGGGTGATTTAGCGGCTGTGGGGATGCCCCGGCCCGTGCTCCCTGCCTGACAAAATGGTCAGCGCGGCGGGAACACGTCCCTGGAGGTCTCCGGAGAGGCAGGGCTGTCAAGGTCAGGAGCCGGGTCAGAGAGAGAACCTTGACAGATCCGGCCCCTGTTTAACCTGCCTGGGCACACCCCCCCCCCCCCCCCCCCCCCCCCCCCCCCCCCCCCCCGCCGTGCACCGACTCAAGTGAGTTAAGCCCCAAGAACCATAAATAAGCCGGGTTTCAGCTGCAAGCCCCTAACTTTCTCTTGAGATTAATGTGAAAACGGTAAAGACAAAGAGCCCTCCCCCCGCACCCCCAGCACCAGGCATCGAGTGTCTCATCCGGCTCACTTCTCGTTTGCTCTGTTCTGTGTTCCATCAGCTGCACGAGTACAAACCCTCGTCCCACCGCATCTTCCGCTTGAACAACATAGCGAAAGCGCTTAAGTTTTTGGAAGATAGCAACGTAAGTATTCGAAACACACGTGCTTTTCTTGGGATGGAGGGGACGTAATTTGAAGTTCGGTGCCGGTCACAGGAGAAAGCGTGCAAAGGGGACCCTGCAAAAACGGCAAAATTGAACTAAGTTTCAGCACGACGGGACGCACTCAGGTAGCCCTTCAGCTGGAGACGTGGTCCCGGGCCCCCTGCCCGCCCCTCTCTCACCCCCTAGACGCCAGCTCGGACGGACGCCCAGCCGTGGGAAGGGCGGACCAGCGCACCGGCTCGCGGCCCTTAGCAGCTGACATTGGCTTCTTCACCCCTTTGAATAGTAGGCGCGTGAGCTGCCACCTGGGCGACACTCAGAACACAGGATATCAGAGAAGAGGGCTAAGGGAGACAGGGAAGAGCATCCCAACATTTCTTCTTTCTTGGATGTAACTCTCTAGATTTAAATTAGTTTTTTCTGTGCGTTCGGCTCTGTTTCACGTCCTTCACAAACGAGCAGGGACGAAATTTCCAGACCTCCTCTCTCATTACGTTTCACCAGTTAACCCGGGTAAAAAGCCCTCTCGGCTCGCCCGAGTGATCCACTCGGGGTTCCTCACGGGGAGCAGCCGAAGCTGACCTTGGCCGATGGCAGCAGAAAAGGAATTTGTTCAAAGGGTGCCGAGTAGCGCACGGAATGCCTCGATCGACTGGGGAATATGAGAGGGGACCCAGGAGTGTGCGGCATCAGGACCCCTGCAGACCCCCCTCCTCGCAGCGCACCCCCCTCCCTCTGCCACTGTCCCCGCTGCCTCTGGAAGAAGGACGTCACCACCCCCCACTGGGGAATGAGCACTCGGCGTCACACATTCACATTCGAAGGCCTGGGCTGCCACCAGGAGCCCCCACGAGCCCCCCCACTGATGCCCTGGGGGAGGGAAAGCACTTTTGGCTTTTGAAGAAGGAAGTGGGCTCCGCCTCCCATACTGCGGGGAAAGACCCAGACACAGGAGGGGGTCTAGACGGCGGCAGCAGCCAGAAAGCACAGTATAGCTCGTAGCAGCATCGTGTACAATAGCCAAAAGGTGGAGGCAGCCCAGGTGCCCATCCTCAGGTGAGTGGGTGAACAATAGGGTGGCTGTCCCCTCGGTGGAATATTATTCAGCCATGAAAAAGGAAGAAGCACTGACATGGGCTCCAACATGGTTGAATCTTAACATTACTCTAAGTGAAGGAAGTGGCACAAAGGACCACTTATTCTTTGATTCCATTCCTATGAAGAGTCCAGCGCTGGGAAATCTCGGGTCAGAAAATAGATGTGTGGCTGCTTAGGGGTTGGTGGGGGGGAGGGGGCGGGGGTGACAGCTAAAGCATATGGGGTCTCTTACTGCGGAGACGAAAATGTTCTAAAATTGTGGTGATGGGCGCGTACCTCCGTGAAAATGCTGAAAACCATTGACTGGCATGCCTTAAATGGGTGAAGGGAATGTGAGTTACATCTCAATAAAGCTGTTGTTGTTGTTGTTTTAAATCCCGTCACATCTCGTGAAAACGGCTGGCCTGTCTGTGGACGTGGCCTCACCTTGGCCTCCGCCGCGATCCGGGGGCGGTTTAGAGCGCGGGTCCCTGGCCATACCTGGGAAAGTTAGGCAGGCACCCCAAGGCTTGGTTACCCCGTCTGTAAAATGGAAGTGATAAAACCACTGTGCGCCTCCCTGTGTTGTTGAGGGTTGAGTGTGCCCGGCCGGGTGGAGTTCAGCCAAGTTCAGCCGTGGCCCAGGGTGAGGACTCCACACGATCGCACCCGCTCTGGCCACACCTCCCGGCCCCCTGCGCTCTGCTCCCGGAGGAGCGCTGGGCGGGGCTCTTCTAAGCAGCATCCCCCCCGCCCCCATGTCCCAAAGGAGCTCTGTTTTGGTGACAACCTAGGGCCTTGGAACAGCGGCCTGGGGTTATTTATTCATCCTCCCGGCGGGGCCGGGTCCACCCCGAGGTGCTTCCGGCTCTACCAGCCGCCTCGGCTTGATGGGCCTGCACCCTGAGCAACACTCCCCCACTGCATTTGTCAGAACCACCCACATAGGTGGTGGGTGCTTCCAGCAGCCCCGCGGGGCACGTGTACCGAGCGTCTTCTGCGGACCTGGGGCTGCGCTCGGCGCTGGGGACACAGCCGCGTTAGATGCACATCTGCACCATTAAGGAGCCTCCAGCCTAGTGGCAGAGGCCTCACAGGGCAGGACACTGCATGTCCTGTCACACCAGGGGCACAGAGGGGAGCACTGAGCCCTCAGGAGTGGAAGCTGGTGGCCGGCCGCTGAGGAACGGCCAGGGTGGCGGGCAGTGCGGGTGGGGCTGCCCCCCCCCACGCCCTCCACCCTCCCCACCCCCCGGCGCTGGGGAAGCCCACAGCTCACTCAGGAAGGCCTGGTCCCTGTCATCCGCCGGGGCTGGTCCCCCAGCCTGCTCAGTGCCTCCCTGCAAGGCGGCTCTGTCATCTTCTCACTTCGGAACGCTTCCCTGAAAGCTCAGCTCAGAGAGGCGCGCTCGGCTTCCTTCTAGGTAGGAGCGAAGTCCCGGATGATCACATTGAGCGCTTTGATCGCCCTGCGTTGGAAGAGTGCAGTGAGCCACTGAATGGAGGGGGCTGTCGGTGCAGGGGGGGCAGGAGACAGCAAGCCACGTATGGCACATGACGCATCACATGGGCAGGTGCCAGCCCTGACGTGTGCAGAGGGAACACTGGACCTGAATTCGATCAGCTGTATTATTCACGATATTGACAACGCACTCCAGCCTGCGGTGATGAGCTCCTGCTGCCTGAGTTAGAAACTCTCTGCAAGATGGACCAGAGCTGGGGAGCTCAGGGGTTTCTCTCCCCCACCAGGAAACCAGCCCTATCGATCAGGGTGAGCGGGTGAGATCTGAGAGCCGTGTGGAATGTCCGTAAAAGGCCCCAGGAAAAGGGAGGAAGGAGTATTTGTGCAAGACGCTCGCCCCGTGCTTCTTTCCGGAGTGTGCTGGCAGAATTTTGCAGGGTGGATTTGAGGGCATTACCTGGACTTGTGTTAATTTTCCTCCCTCCCCCAAAGAATGGATTTGCACTTTTGTAAAGGAGCTGTGAAGAAAGAAGCAAGCGTTATATCGCCAGCTCTCAAGCGTGTATCCCCCAGCCCTTTCCAGAAGACGGGCGCAGATGCCTGATCTGTGTCCTGAGATCCTGTTTGCGGGAGAAAATGACGACTTGGCCAGCGGTCCTCGAACCTGAGTGTGTACATCAGAATCACCTCACTGGTTCAGATGCACGTGGCTGGGCTCCTCTCTGGGGCTTCCTGATTCCGCAGGACTAGGAGAGAATTTGCAATCTAACCAAATCCCGGGCAGTGCTGCTACCCTTGGCCCAGGGAACACACGTTGAGAACGAACGCCTTAGGAATTCACCAAAGCATCAGCCTGTGGTCAGAATGTAGTTAAATAAACCAGGAATCCCCTAAGAGTTTCTATAATAGATGCATTTAACCAGGATGTAATTTAATCAGGGTGTAAGCCTTATCCCAACACACTGTTTGTAACTAGCAGCGGGTAATTATCCATCATGGTCCACGATTGGTTATGTCGGTGTTCTCCATTTGTCCAGAAACGTGTTGCATCTGGGGGTTTGGCAGTGGTAGTGCAGCAGACAGACAGACCTTCCCTGGATGTGTGTCCCCACCATGTGGCCTCTGTGACATTTCCTTCCCTGAAATGTCGGGATAATAGAAGTACCTACATTGTGGGCTTGCTGTGGGTCCGACCGAATTCATCCTTACAAGGAGCTTAGACAAGGCTTGGCACGTGGTAGATACAATGCATGTGTTCATTAAACACACTTACATTCGTTTTGCACGCTGGGGTCCTGAAGGTGGCCGTGGGCAGTACTAGGCGATACAGGGGAGAAGGAGATAGGTCCATGAGGGCATCAGAAAACAACCGGTTACAACCTGCTTGAGCAGCCCAGCTAAGCTCACAAATTGCTTCTCCCCAGGTAAAGCTGGTTAGCATCGATGCAGCCGAAATAGCAGACGGCAACCCCTCGTTGGTTCTCGGGCTGGTGTGGAACATTATTCTCTTCTTCCAGGTAACTTCCTTTCCATAACACACAGCCACGATCTCCTAGAGCCTGCCTCATGCCAACAGGACAGAGTGAGGCCAGACCGAGGGAGACTGGGAGGCCCTGCTTCTGATAGAGTTTGACTTCTCTGTTTCTTGCAAAAGAACCAGAGAAATGCGGCTGCCAAAGTCCCCGTGGTTTTAATAGTGACCTGAGCTCTGTTCTCCAGAAGAGTCTAGCCATCCTCTTGGGATTTAGAGAGGTAATATTTGCTTCAGAAAATATTTTTGTTCTAAAGTGTCACAAAAACTGGGGAGTTACTTGTGATCAAAAATTGAACTTGGAGTTACTTTCATAAAATGACTCGTGCACAGCAGATGTAAATTAAAGAGCTGGAATGAAAGATAGGGGTAGAAAGAGGCATCCGTGCCAGGTCACTGTGTGCTCTCTGTCCTTGGCGGCTTCAGCCTCTGTTCAGAAATGCAGATTCTATAGGGAAACCCAGGATCTGTGGCTGGTGTTTGAAGGTGGTATTTAAAACTGCTCGAGTTCAGGGGTATCTGGGTGGCTCAGTCGGTTAAGCGTCCGACGTTGGCTCTGCACTGACAGCTCAGAGCCTGGAGCCTGCTTTGGAGTCTGTCTCCCTCTCTCTCTCTGCCCCTCCCCTGCTCACACTCTGTCTCTCTCTCTCTCTCTCAACAAAAAAATTAAAAAACAAAACAAAACAAAACAAAAAAAAACTTGAGTTCTTATCCCTGAAGAGGAGGGAGTAAGGAATCGCATCTTCTGAAATAGAAAGTCATGACTCATTATTTAGCTGTCCTCCTACGAGTAAAAATGACCTGCAGAAAGGTGACTTGCCAGAGGGGAATATGCACAAATAAGGTGTAGGGACAATAGATTCAGTTCTATGTGAGCCTTGAGCTTAAAACAACCAAAGGCTGTCTCTCTGAGCCTCAGTTTCCACATCTGTGAAATGGGAGCAGTGGTCAGCCCTGTGGGAAAGCCCTCTGTCAACTGTACAGTGTTAAATACAGGCTTCGGTTACTAATGTTTGCTATTAAACCCTCAGATACTGGAAATATTCTGTGCGAAAAGTCATGGCCTTAAATCCATCCATCCATCCATCCATCCATCCATTCATTCCGTAAATGTCTGTTGAGTTTCTATGTGTTGGGCCCTGCACACATCAAGTTCTGACTCTATGGGGTCATGGACAAGACAGTCCCATGGTATGGAGCCCTGTGGGTGAAGGTTATGGTCAGGCTGTGCGCAGGGTGTTGTCAGAATGCCAAGCGGGAGCACCTACCCCAGAGGAGGGAGGGGAGTGAGGAAGACTTCCTGGAGGAAGTGACACCAGAGCTGGGTTTTGAAGGATAAGTAGGAGTGCGTTATACCAGTTTGCTGACTTTGCTGGGCATGCAGACTCCCTGGGGGTGGTGTTGAAATGCAGACTATGATGCTGTGCGTCTGCGGCAGGGCCTGGGATTCTGCGTTTCTCACAAGGGCCATGTGGTAGGAGCCACATTTTGAGGAGCTGGGGATTTGGTGACGGAGGTAAGGGACACGTAGGCAGCAGGACCAGGACACACTTAGGCATGAGGCTCGAAACAGCATCGTGCATTCTGGGCTGACAGGCACAAGAGGAAAGGGGTAGGTGGAACCTGGCCAGGGAGACCTTGCGTGAGTGAGTGTGTGTGTGTGTGTGTGTGTGTGTGTGTGTATGTGTGTCCACGCGGCCAAATCACAAAACAGAGAGATTCTGGAAAGTGGTGACCTTCCCAGTGAGGTGTCTGCAGGCACCATAAGCCACACGAAACGGTCCGGCCACCACACGGCCATCCAGAAGCCTCTTCTGCCTGGTTGGAGACCCAGTTGTACGTGAGCTGGACCCTCACGTGCAGCTTGTTAGTGTGACAATCCCACAATCGTCAGTGTGATTTATGTGAATGATGAGATCACGGACGGCTTCTGTGTGCTGCCCCGTGTCGCGCATTAGGTTGACCTCATGCCAGGGCCATTCTTACTGGTAAGATCTCTAACGCTTCGCCTTGTGGCCTGGGTCTGGGGTCTCAAATGCCATTTTCCTTCCAGATTAAGGAGCTCACGGGCAATCTCAGCAGGAACTCTCCATCTTCCAGCCTGTCACCTGGCTCGGCGGGCACAGATTCAGACTCTTCCTTCCCACCCACACCCACCGCGGAGAGGAGCGTGGCGATATCGGTGAAGGATCAGAGGAGGGCCATCAGGACCCTGCTGGCATGGGTGCAGAGGAAAACGAGGAAGTAAGCCGTCACTCCCTGCCCCCACCCCCATGCTGTCGTCAGGCAGAGGGAGGGGGGCTTCCCTAGGAGAGGGCAGAGGATGAGGGCACCAGCATAGTATTCAATATGTGCCCGACACTTCATATAGACTCTGAGAGCAGGGAGTGCTGTGCATTTTCAGTTTCTGCACACGCAAAGCTGTATCCGCAGAGTGGTTTGCAGAAAACTAACGGGAGAATTTGAATACGAATCGAAGGGGCTTTGCCCCCTCTTAAATCCCAAAATAAGAAGGGTTTTTGGATCCTTATAACATGTACGTACTGATTGCTAAGCTTCAGGGCGTCTTTCAGGCTCTGCACCTGCTAACCCCTGATAACAAGGCTGTGACGTGGTGTGACCTCCACACTAGCAGGCCAGGGCTCTTGGCAGTTTTGTATCAGGTCTCTTACTGGCAGCCAGCTGACAGCCTCTGGGACCCTGGGCTGCAGCGGGGACAGCTGGGAAGCTAGGCCATGTGCAGTGAGAGCCACACCCGACGAGGGGCCACCCGGCTCTGCCACGTCTTCATGGTACATCACAGCCACGCCTGTGCGTCGGTAACTTATCACCGCCTGCTCCCAGGAGAGTTAGGGTGAAGTGGAGTGAGCTCAGGAAAGCACCTGGCGCTTTACCAGCGCTTAATGACCCCTCACACATCGGGTCCTTTGTCCCTGGTATATGGAGATAAAACATGAAAGAAAAAAGAAAGAGTTGGATGTTTGGATTTTGACTGAGAGGCTGAGCGTGATAGAGTGGATTAATGTAAACATCCGTTAGACGGGGTTTACAAATAAATCACCCCAAAGAAACCCCGTTGCCAGGAGGTAGGGTGACTATCACGGAGAGGATGTGTCCATGGGATCATGGGACAGTCTTGTGTCTCCATCGTGGCAGCGGTGGCGGCCACAGGGTCTGTACTTAACAAAGTGGCGTGGACTGCGTACCACCCCCATGGGAATGACACAGCCCAGTCCAAACAAGGTCTGCGGCTCCCAGGCTCGTGGCACCGTCAGCATCCCGCCTTTGATGCCACACTCAGTACACTCGGTGACGTAAGGGGGAAGCCAGGGGAAGCCGGATGGACGGCAGAGGAGTGCTCTTACTGCTTTTACAGCTTCTTGGGAATTGCAAACAATTGCTAAATAAAAATAGTTTGTAAGAGAGTTCCGTGGCCCCAGCTGGAAGCTGGGTGGCCTCCCAGGGGACAGGCTCTAAAGGAAACAGGTGCCTGGCAGTATTGACTATCTTTGCCCCTCACTTTTAAATTGGTGGTGTGATTTGTGTGAATAATGAGATAAAAATTGGTGGCTTCTGTGTGCTACCCCATGTCATGTGTTAGGTTGACCTTATGCCATGGCCATTCTTCCGGGTGAGATCTCCCGCTTCGCCATCACAGCCGCCAAGAGGTCACAGCCAGGTGGTCCCCGTTTTACAACTGAGGAGTCTGAGGGCCAGAGAGAACGTGTGACTTGTAGCCCTGGGAACACACCGGGTGGGGGTGGGGCGGCCAGGAGGCGAACTTGGGGTCTTTCTGGCTCCATTTTTGTCGCACACCCGTATTTGCTGGTTTGCCCATCACAGAAAAGCGAGCACTGTGTAGAGTTGTTGTTAACGTGTTGGGGAATCTGGGCCCATTTTGCCAGCTCACGTGTAACACACACTTTTCTATTTTGTTTCTCTGGACATGGAGATGGAGCGTTGAGTATAGCGTTCCCAGGACTCCGGGCCAGAGGCGTCCTCGCCGGCGGCTCCTGGCCCCGCTCGGAGGCCAGTGAGGCTGCCGCATGGACACCCTCACTGTGGGGGACAGGGATTCACTTCCTGACCCGCATCACGGCCGCCGCGGCCGCTCTGCTTCAGGTATGGGGTGGCGGTGCAGGACTTCGCGGGCAGCTGGAGAAGCGGGATGGCGTTCCTGGCCGTGATCAAGGCCATCGACCCCAGCCTGGTGGACATGAAGCAGGCCCTGGAAGACTCCATGCGGGAGAACCTGGAGAAGGCCTTCCGCATCGCACACGAGGCCCTTCACATCCCCAGGCTGCTGGAGCCCGAAGGTGACACTGCTGCCCCCCCTTTCTCTTTCTTCCTTTTGAACCATTTGTATCACATCTGTAACACAGGCTGTCCATGTCGAAAATTTGGGAAAATACAGGAAAATCGAATGAAGACATTTTTATGTTTCCCGTACTCCTACCCCTTAGTATTTTTCTATGCATCTCATTATAGTTTGTTTGTTTGTTTGTTTGTTTTTTACAGAATTGAGATCATTCAGTGTATGTAGACAGATGACCCTTAAACCGCACGCGCGTTGGGGTGCTGACTGCCCCCTGCCCACAGTTGAAAATCCATGTATATGGGGCCTGCCGTGGCTCAGTAGATTGAGTGTCCGACTTCAGCTCAGGTCATGATCTCGCAGATCGTGAGTTTGAGCCGCCCGTCGGGCTCACTGCTGTCAGCACAGAGCCTGCTATACAACTCTGTTCCCCCATCTCTCTCTCTCTCTGCCCATTCCCCCTCAAAAATAAACAAACATTAAAAAAAATCCACGTATAACTTCTGACCCCCCAGAAACTGAATTTCGAATAGTCTACTGTTGACCAGAAGCCTTACCAATAGCAGGAAAATTAACACGTTACGTACGTTATATGGGTGCATGCTACATTCTTACAGTAAAGGAAGCTAGAGGAAAGGAAACGTTATTAAGAAAATCGTAAGGAAGAGAAAGTGCATTTATAGTACTGTACTGATCCAAAAAATGCATATAAATGGACCCACACGATTCAAACCCGCGTTGCTCAAGGGTCCTCCGTAGCTGTGTATTTTACCGTTGTTTTTATTAAGGTTTATTGTTTTAATTCCAGTACAGTTAACGTACAGTGTGGCTAGTTTTAGGAGTGCCGTCTAGTGGCTCCACGATTCTATATATTGCTCAGTGTGCAACATGATAAGTGTACTCTTCATCCCCATCACCTATTGGTATTTTACTTTTTTTACTTGCCATTAAGTACATTAATTAATTAATTATGTCCTTAATTATGACATAAGCACTCTGCCTGTTGCTGTCATGTCTTTGTTATATGTTTTTATGGCTGCACAATGGTCCATCTAGGGGGCATCATAAAATTTACTTAGGTCTTCCACGGGTAGACATTGAAGTTTTTCCAGAAGAGTCCTGTTTCTATACAACATGCAGTAAACCTCTTGCTGAATAGTGCTCAGGGTGCATCTCAAGGTTATTTCCTTCATGACCAGATCCCGTGCATGGAATACCAGAGTAGAAAAGTACATGCCTTTTTAAGGCGCTTGGCTGCCTGTCAGATTGATTTCCACGTGACTTGGGCTGCTCTGGGACTCCCTCCAGCAGGGAGTCAGGGTCACGGCTCACCGGACTCGCTGATGGGGCCAGCCGAGTGCTGGCTGCTCCCGGTGGGGGAATTCAGACAGGAGGGACCAGGGGACAGCCTTGGGAAGGAGGAATCGTGGATTCTACTTCCCACCTCTTCTCTTCATCAGCCAGATGTGAGACTTTAGCCACATGATCCATCCCCTCTGGGCGCCCCTCTCCTCAAGCATAAAATAAAGAGGAAAAACCTCAGTGGTCTTCGGGGCTTTTCCCTAGCAAGCGTCCCTTGACCCTGTTTAAAACTCCCGTGGGACGCCTGGGTGGCTCAGTCGGTTAAGCGTCCAACTTCAGCTCAGGTTATGATCTCACCGTTGGTGAGTTCGAGCTCTACTTTGGGCTCTGCTGACAGCTCAGAGCCTGGAGCCTGCTTTGGATTCTGTATCTCCCTCTCTCTCTACCCCTCCCCAGCTCGTGCTCTGTCTCTCTCTCAAAAATGAATAAATATTTAAAAAAAAATTAAAACTCCCATGCTGCTCGTCCTTCTGACTCCTGTGTCTCTCTCCACAGACATCATGGTTGACACCCCAGATGAGCAGTCCATCGTGACTTACGTGGCACAATTTCTGGAACATTTCCCGGACCTGGAGGCTGTATGTTGTTTCCTTACCTTTGATTCAGAAACGATTTCCCTCCGCTGGCTGTCAGATGGAGCTCTGATGAAATGAGCAGTAATAATCAAAACTGGGACTCAAGTCCCCTGAAGGTTGCCTTGGTGCATTTTAATTTCAGAATCATGGATGAGACGCTTTACATTTATTCTCTTATCATTTTTAAATGTTTATTTTATTTTTGAGAGAGAGACCGAGCACACGAGTGAGCAGGGGAGGGACAGAGAGAGAGGGAGACGGAGAACCCCAAGCGGGCTCTACGTTGTCAGCGCACAGCCCGACGTGAGGCTTGAACCCACAGACCATGAGATCATGACCTGAGCCGAGACCAAGAGTCAGATGCTTAACTGACTGAGCTGTGCAGGCGCCATCAGATGATTTACATTTAACAGCAGGATGGGAAGTTGGACAGCCATCCCTCTTGCAAACGTCTTCCCCTACTACACTTGACTAAGACTATAAAGGATGCTCCCTTGTAATGGGAATCGGACACCTGACTCTTTAGCTGTCAGATGGAACATTCTAGCAGTTTACCGGATTTTATCTGAGTGTGAAAAATTATAAAGGACAGTGACATTTGAAAAGCAAGTCTTCTGGGGCACCTGGTGGCTCCGTGGATTAAGCATCCGACTTCAGCTCAGGTCATGATCTCACAGTCAGTGAGTTCGGGCCCCGCATCGGATTCTGTGCTGACGGCTCAGAGCCTGGACCCTGCTTTTGATTCTGTGTCTCCTTCTCTCTCTGCTCCTCCCTCGCTCGCTCTCTGTCTCTCTCTGTCTTTTAAGAATGAATAAATGTTTAAAAAAGTTTTTTTAAAAAGCACATCTTCTTAAAAAAAGAAGAAAAGCACAATTTCTGATTTTCAGAATCCCAGACTGCACTTGGAGCCAAATCAGACCTTTCAGAAGTTGTCATAGCTCCAAGCTCAGCCTTGAGGTGATACAAGTGACAGCACCAATGTGACAACAGACCTTTCTTGAAAGCATTGGTGATTGACTGTGCTCGCTCAGGGCGACTCAGCCATAAGCTGGAATGATGAAAGTCCCTGACCTTGTACCGCTTTGTCCTATGAGCCCAGACAGTCACCACGCAAGCAAACACATAATTTGGGATAATGGGAGGTACTAGACAGAAATAAAATTAGCACGAAGAGCTCATGCGCACAGGGGGAGGAGGGCTGCACTTTGCGCTGGAGGCCAGTCAGGGAAGCGCCCTGCGTGCGTATCCGGGGTGACCGCCCTCACGATCAGACACGGCTTGATGTCATTATCCTCATAGATGAGAACGCAGATCGTTGAAGAAGCTCACGGGCCTCTCCAGGATCACAGCTCCCAAGTATAGCTTCCACGGGTAGACATTGAGGTTGTTTCGAAAAGAGTCATGTTTCTATACAACACGCGGTAAACCTCTTACAGAATAGAGCTCGGGGCGCATCACAGGATTATTTCCTTTGGGACTAGAAGGAAATATTTCCACGGACACATGGAATACCAGAGTAGGAAAGTGCATGCCTTTTTAAGGCACTTGGCTGCCTGTCAAGGCTGGGGTCTGACCCCGGCTCTCTGTGACTCCACACTTCTGGCTCTTGGGTCCCTGACAACCTACGGCTGAAACTGAGGCCCCATTTTGTGCAGCTCAAAAGAGCCAGATGGGGTCCTCCTTGGCCACGGCTTTGATTCCATTCCCTTTCTGCTGGCCCGTGGCCCATCAGTCCCTGAACCACAGATCACTTCCCAGGGAGCTTTAGAAGAAGGAATTCCGTGGGCTGGAAGTGGCAGTTCTGCCACTTGAAGCTGTGTGACCTTGAGCTGCTTGCTTAGTGTCGCTGATACAAGTCTGTATGAGGTGTCATCAGTGAAATGAAAATCTTACCCGCACTTCAGAGTGGTGTCAAGAATAAGTAGATGGTGTAGAGTGCCCAGTCTTCTGCCTGCTACAACAGTCAATGCTCAGCAAATGGCAGTAATTGTCACTGTTTTTTAATTCAGTTTTCCTAGGCCGTTGCTAGATTTGGAAATAGGAGACAGCAGGGCTTTTATTAGCCCTGAGTTCTAGAGCTGTAGGCAGAGTTCGAAATCGGCTGAAACTTACCATGTCTGTGTGAGTCAGGGTCACAGCCACGATGCAGCTCATCTAACACTTGGATCTCCCCAGTGCTGGGGTCCCAGGTGGGGGCTGGGAAGGGAGAGATTGAATGAAATATGACACCTGGGGAAAGTGGTTCTGATTCACAGACACAGTGGACCCCTGGAGAACTGGCCATGTACTTCCCCAGGGGAATACAGATGGCAAGTCCCGGCGAATCTAGACACCCACTGAACTATTCCTGAACAATTCAGCTGAGTTTAGTTCATTTTATTTACTTATTTTAAATGTTTATTCATTTATTTTGAGAGAGTGCTCAGAGGAGGGTCAGAGAGAGAGATAATCCCAAGTAGGCTCTGCTGTCAGTGTGGAGCCTGATGCCGGGCTTGATCTCATGAACCGGGAGATCATGACCTGAACTGAAATCAAGAGTCAGATGCTTAACTGACTGAGCCACCCAGGCGCCCCAAGTTTAGTTCATTTTAATAAGCCTTTGGTAAGCCCTGGTCAGCCATGTACCAGACCCTGCCCCTAACTTTATGGCCCAAAATATGGTTTATTTGGGTAAATATATCATAAGTACTTGGAAAGAATGTCTTATACAGTGACACATCCTCTCTCTCTCTCAAAAGAAAAAAAAAAAGGAAAAGAAAAAGAAAGAATTGACATTCTTTCAATACCAATTAGGTTGAGTCAGTTAATATGCTCTTTTTTTTTTTTTTTTTTTGATTTCTAGGAGAGAGAGAGAGAGCATGAGCAGGGGAGGGTCAGAGAGAGAGGGAGATACAGACTCTGAAATAGGCTCCAGGCTCTGAGCTGGCAGTCAGCACAGAGCCCGACGCGGGGCTCGAACCTACGAACCGCGAGATCATGACCTAAGCGAAAGTCAGACGCTTAACCAACGAAGCCACCCAGGCGCCCCTAATATGCTCTTCTAATATTCTGTACACATACTATGTTTTTCCTACATTTCCTGTCAGCGTGAGGGGGAAAAGGTTAAAAACTCTCCCACTTGGGGCTGTGGATTTGTTTCTTGGTTCTGTTAGTGTTTGCTTTACGGTGTCCACGCTATGCTATACATGCACGCACATTTAAGATTGTTGTATCTTCCTGATGGCTCGGTCATTGTATTTTTCCGCAATTTCAACCTCTGCTTGGAAGTCTACTTTATGTGATAAGATTCCAGCTTTCTTATGATTAGTGTAAGCATGATAGATCTCTTTCTCTTTCCCTTCCGGTGTGTGTGCTCATATTTAAAGCCTATCTCTTGTAAGTAGTATACAATTCGGTCTTATTTTTTATCTATTCTGACAAGAATTAATGTGTCACCTTATTAGCGTATTTCCCAACTATTTACATAGATTTAACCTCCCATCATGATTATTGATTTCATGGCCATCCCTGTTCTATGCTCCTTTGTCCTTCCTACCTAACATTTTTTGGATTATTAGATAATTGGTTTTGGTTTCTGTCGTACCTCCTCTTTTGGCTTTTTGGCCACAACTTCTCATTTTATCTTTGAAGTAGTTTCTCTAGGGATAAAAAAAACTTACCTTGAACCTACTTTAGACTGCCTTGAATTACTATTATACCACTTAACAGTAAAACACGCATTTTAGGCATTTTAGGCATCTTTACGTAACAGTGTAATTCCATTCACTTCTCTATTCCTTTGTGCTATGATTGTCATTTACTTTACTTCTACATTTGTTTTAATGGCCAATGCTTTGTTCTTATTATTGCTTTCAACAGTCAGGAGACTTTTTAAGGAGAGCTTTTAAATGGTCTTCTATATTGACCATATAGTTAGCAATTTAGGTACTTTTCATTCCCTCTTTCAGATCCAAGCTTCCATTTGTGGTCACTTTCCTTTAGCCTCCAGAACTACTTTCCTTTGTATTTCTTGTAGTCTTTGTTAAATCATTACTTTTGGAGTCTTTTATTTGCTAGTTCTAACCCTGGGCGGTATTTGAGTCTACATCTAATGATTGTTGTTTCTCTTGATTGTGGGTCTCATTCTCTTGCTTCTCCATGTCTGAAAACTTCTTATTTTGTGCCAGACCTGGTATAAAAAAGAAGAGTAACGACTGAGGCAGCCTCCATTTTCCCCCCAGAGAAGGTGTAGCCTTTTCCCAAACCAGGATCTGATTGAGGAACTGATTGTTTTGGCTTTCTCAGGAGTCGGTAGCAGCTACGCCGCAGTTTTAATGTCAGCTCTCTGGTTTCAAATGATTTTCAGATGAGGTCAGCCGACTCTCTCTGCCAGGGCACTGGGAGCCAAGCGCTACAAGGCTGCTCTCTGCTTTTTGGCTCTGCTCTTACTCTCAGCTGTTTCTCACTTAACAAACACCCCTGTGTGTTGAGAATTAGTATATGAAGAGAATTGGTTTTGTATTGGGGGCCCCTCCATATTGGATCTCTCACGCTGGCCCGTGCAGTCAGTAAAGATGATCTTGGGTAAGTTCACTCTCCTATCCATACTCAGACGAGTCAGGAGCCCACTAGTCTGAAGCAGCTGACACTCACATAGGAAAGGCTCACCCTTCCCTAGGGTTCCATTTGTTGAGATTTCTTGGCCTCCATAGTTTTTAAAAACCCATTTTTTTTTAGCATGTCTGGTGTTTTCACGTTTCAGCAGGAGCATTCATCTGCCTCTCTTAAATGTTTTTTTAATGTTTTTTATTTATTTCTAGGAGAGAGAGAGAGACAGCGTGAGCAGGGGAGGGTCAGAGAGAGAGGGAGTCACAGACTCTGAAACAGGCTCCAGGCTCCGAGCTGGCAGTCAGCACAGAGCCTGACACGGGGCTCGAACCCACGAACCGCGAGATCATGACCTAAGCGAAAGTTGGATGCTTAACCGACTAAGCCACCCAAGCGCCCCTCCATCTGCCTCTCTTAATTAGAGTACTTCTTGCGTTCATTCTGAAATGGCTTTTTCCACGCTGGTTTCTGTTGTATGAGGGGGGAATAGACACTGTACTCAGACACTCCTCTGATTGATTTCATGTCATCCTACGTCTCTTCCCAGGAGGATTTCGTGGATTCGGATAAAGAAGCCCCTATCGAGTCCACCTTTGTCCGCATCAAAGAAACACCTTCTGAACAGGAGAGCACAGTCTTCCTTCTGACCGAAAATGGCGAGCGAGCCTACACCATCAACCACGAAGCCAGCCACCCGCCGCCCTCCAAAGTCTTTGTCTGTGACAAGTCCGAGAGCGCGAAGGAGCGCTTCCTGGATGGTGTGCCCAGTCGGGCGCTGACAGACAGCTCCACCGAGTTCATGCACCAGATCATTGACCAGGCCCTCCAAGGGGTCCCAGGGAAGGCCAGCAGCACCAGTGAGCCGTCTCCAGAATCTTCCATCTTATCATCCAGAAAGGACAACCGGAGGTCCAACTCTTTGCCAGTCAAGAAGACCGTGCACTTCGAGGCGGACACGCTCAAGGATGCTTCTTGCAGTAAAGACCCTTTCTACGGTCAAGACCTTCGCTTTGAAGGGAGCCCGAGAGGGACAAAGGACTCGTTGCTGAAGCAGGATGGGGACGTCCTGGCAGTTGAGATTGCCGAGGAAAAGCTGAAACCGGAATCCCCAAAGGTTTCGGAAGCAGCCTCTGATGAGTCGCCTGGTGACGAGTCTTCGGTGCACGGGGAGATCAATCATTCGCAGACTTCCAAGAGTTGCCCCTCATGGAACGGGTCACCAGAGGGTGCAGCCGACGGTGGGGAGGAGGAGAGTCGTCCCCTGTCGCCCCTCGGGGACAACACCGTTATAGCTGACTCCTTGCAGATCAAGGTCAAGCTGCTGACCGTAGAAGCGATGGACGAGGAAGACTGTTTTGAAGGCATACCTTTAAAAGCCTCGAAGTTCAACAGCGACCTAATAGATTTTGCCTCGACCAGCCAGGCCTTCGGTGAGGTTCCTGAGCCTCATGAGAAGAAACCTGTCGAGGAAGAGGTTTCGGAGAATCGTGCTGAGCGGTTGGGGAAGAGGAGAAGTAAATCCGCGCACCAGAGGAAGGACTCGGACCAGTCCCCAGAGAGGCCTGACAAGCAGGACCCTGGGCAAGAAGACCAAGGCTGCTCTTTGGCCCCCGAGGAGGCGCCGGTGGATAGAAAGCCGGAAGTGTACGAGAAGCCCAAGCGCAAGTCCACACGGCGCCGTCAGGGCGAGGACGAGGTGGAGAACGTCGGGCCGCAGGGGCTGGGCGGGGAGCTGCCCTCTGACCCCCCGAGCAGCAGTGCCAGCCTGGAGACCCTGCGCAGCCGCAGCGAGGAAGGCCTGGACTTCAGGCCCTCCCCGCCCTTGTCCAAGGTCTCCGTCATTCCCCACGAGCTTTTCTACTACCCGCACTACGAGGTGCCCTTGGCTGCTGTGTTGGAGGCTTATGCGGAAGGCTCGGAGGATTTGAAACCCGAGGACCTGGATATGGAGGAGTCAGAGGACTATCTGTGTGATCTGGGGCCCGGGGACGAGGTGGAGGAGGCGGAGGAGGCCAGGGACGAGGTCGAGGAGGCCGAGGTCTCTCGGAACAGTTGTAGCTTCGAGGAGGTCCCCAAGGCCATCATCCCGGCCCCGAGTACCGACAGGGGTGCAGAGGGCACCGGACCAGCCTTGGAGCCCGCGCCCCCGTCTCCACAGGAAGACCACCAGCAAGAGGAGACCCAAGAGAGTGGCTCTGTGGAGGGCCATCAGGTACGGGACCCCTGGGCCCTGCACGGGGATTCGGCTTTCCTCTGGGGCTCCGCTGCAGCCTCCACTAGGGGGCGCTTCAGCCAGTTTAAGGAGGCGTTCCTTCACTCAGGCTCCGACCAAGGGAAGGGCTGGCCCCTGAGAGGAGCCCTCCTGAGAGTGTGGGCCTTGGGTGCCCCCCTGGCCTCCCGGAGCCCCGCCCCTGCCCACAAGGCCGCCAAGAGAAGGGAATGAGGCTGTGTTTGAGGGCCCAGTGTCATAGCAGTAATAATTGGAAATGGTGACTGTAGCCACACCTACTGTGTGCTTAGCAAACCCTGGGTCCCGCCTCCCGCCGCCCCAGAAAACCTCACATCTGACTCGCGCCCTTCTTTTTGAAGGTTGCCTGTTGGCACAGTTGTCTGGCCCCTGGGCTTAGAAGTGGGGGACACGCACTTCGAATTTTAGCAACTGAGCCCACGCTTGTCTGCCACTTTGTGTCCCCATTTCATCTGGCCCGGCAGCTCCAGGGGCCATCGGCGTGGGCAGCGATAGGGTGCAGGGGGCCCTGACCCACCCCTCCTCTTCGTCCTTTCCCTTCCCTCCCCTCCAGCCAAGCCAGCCTCCCCCCACCTCCCAGGCACACCACAGTTTGCTCTGCCCCTCCCCCCATATGACACTTGGCAAGGACTCATTCCTCTTCCAAGCCCAGTGCTAATGACGCCTCCTCCCAGGAGCCTTCCCAGCTTCTCCCTGGGCAGTTGTTTCTAGTCTATAGCCAGTGACACAGGACAGCTCTCTACTCTTCTCCCTAACCTGGTTTGGTGGCTTGTGATTTTCCCTCCCAGGAGGGAGTGAGGGCTGGTGTTTTAATCCTCAGATTCTGGAGAGCAGCCCGGCAAGGCTGGCGGTGCAGGAAACAAAGGTGGATCGCATGACGGTTTGGGCAGGGGGTGGGGGGGCATAAGGTGGACACAGGGTAAATTAAACACCAAGGTAAATGATGGAGCTCTGGCTCATGGCAGGGGAGCATCTAGGCCGAGCGAAGGACTGGAAGGTGCTCTGCAAGAGAAAGGGACATCAGTAGCCTTAAGAGACATTTAGGGTCTAGATAGACCAGAAGTGGGAGCTGGGTGGAACAGAATTCTCAGACACTGACAGCCAAGAGGCAAGCAGAGCGGGACCACCGTGCTCTGTCTGCCTTTGGGTGGAAAAGAGAGTGGGGTGGCTCCGCGGGCACCAGAACCCACCTGCCACCTGCCACTTCTGCCCCCAGGGAGAGGACCCCAGTCCCGGGCCTCCCCCCTCCCGCCTGCCATCTTCCGACTTGCTGGAAGGCAGCCCAGCCCAGCAACCTCTGCCAGCAGGGGCCCCAAGATCCATCGGGGTAGAACTGGCCCTCGGTGAGATGGTGTCTTGGAGTCCCCAGGCTGGGGGACCGTGACACCAACTGCGGCGATGCTCTGGACAGCAGATCTCTTAGGACCAAAGAAAGGCGACCCAGTGGGTGGCAGGACGTAAGCCTACGTTGCTTTCCTGCCCCTCTGTGCTATTTAAAATGGCTTATTAGCAGCCAGTTCCTCTCCCCGGACTGACTGACTGCAGCCTGCAGACACGCCGCTTCCTTCTCTCCTGCGTCACAAAGAGGAGAGGCGTTTGCCAAAAGCAGGTTGTGCTTGTCCGTGTGCCCAGCATGCGGACAGGTGGTTTGGGGGGTGGCGGAAGGAGCCCTGAGCCGGAAGTGAGACAGAGTGGTGTAGATTTCAATCCGCCTCACACTGAACGGGGCGTGGGCCCTGAGGAGAGCTTCCGTTCCTGGGCACAGTTTGCCACTGTCCGCGTCTCGGGCTCGGAGCTGCCTCCTCTGGCTGCCCCGCATCCAACGAGCAGGCACCCCCTGCACCCAAGTGCACTGGTCCTTGGCTCCCCGATGTAGCCTGGGTAGTCCTGTGGGTGAGCAGAGGGAGGGCCTGTCGCCCAAGATGATGGGTGAGGTCTGCCTGGCAGACAAGATGACACCGAAGCCTTCCTCTGATACCTGACCCTTCTTTTAAAAAGGAAAAAAAACGGGGTGCCTGGGTGGCTCGGTCATATAAGCATCTAACTTCGGCTCAGGTCCTGATCACATGGTTTGTGGGTTTGAGCCCCATGTCGGGCTCTGTGCTGACAGCTCGGAGTCTGAAGCCTGCGTCGGATTCTGTCTCCCTCTCTCTCTGCCCCCACTCCACTCAGGCTTGTCTCTCTCTCTCAAAAATAAATAAACATTACAAAAATTTTAAAAAAGGAAAAATAAACTTTCCAATGAGATCAGAAAATGGAAAGTTTCTTCTTCTAGTCTTTAAAAAAAAGTCTTTTCGGAGCACCTGGGTGGCTCAGTTGGTTAAGCGTCCGACTTCGGCTCAGGTCATGATCTCACGGTTCATGAGTTCGAGCCCCGCGTCCGGCTCTGTGCTGACAACCAGTTCAGAGCCTGGAGCCTGTTTTGGATTCTGTCTCCCTTTCTCTCTGACCCTCCCCTGTTCACACTGTCTCTCTTCCCCCTGCCTTTGCTGGGTCACATCTCTGGCATTTATTTGACAAGGAAGATGCTTTGACTGTGGTCCACATTAGAAAAATTTAAAAAATAATTAAAAAGGTAAATTAAAAAATGGGGACAAATAAATTTTAAAAAGGGGGAAGATGTCTTCCCATAAGCTATCTGTTTGCCGGTGTGTGTACCTCTCCCGGCCCAGGGGCCACGTTTGCACCTGTTGGCCCACCTGGCTTCTAGCATTCGCTCCTCTCTTTAAGTGGGTGATGGCTGTGTGAGGGGCCCAGCCATCGCCCAACCGTATGGAACATCATTCACAGTAAATACTGTGTGGTATAGTGAAAAGAGACAGATAGTTATTACACCCATTTGACAGATGAGGAAACTGAGGGGGAGAGAGAAATAAAGTCGGTTGCTTAAGGTAACTCACACAGCCAGATCTTAGGGACTCTGAAACCCATGCTGTGTGTACAGTCTGTGGCCTTTGCACTCTTGCCCCCGGAGCCGGAGCCTGAGCCATTGTGGGGGTGGGCCTCCCTCCCATGGCAGGCTGTGCTGGAAGGAGTCCCCCGGAGGGGGCGCCCTAGCTTCCTGGAATTCAGGTGGAACGGAGCATCGCTAGGGGAAGGGGCGCGGCATCATGCACTCAGCACGCAGCCTGAAACGCTGACTTGTATCTGGTTGTCTGTGTCCTTAAGTCCCAGGAATTCGGAAACTCGGGAAACTTAGCAAACTCTTTAGAAGAAAAGGTAATGGGAGAATCAACCAGCAGTAAAAAGAAGGAAAAAAGGAAGCACGTGGACCACGTAGAAAGTTCAATGTTTATAGCGCCCGGCACCGTCCGATCCTCAGATGACCTAGAAGAAGACACTGGTGACCACAAAGTGCTCTCCAGGTATTTTATCACTGTCCTCTCACCCTAGGGACCGAGCTCGAGGCTTACTCCCTGAACTTGTATCATTCTTGGTTTCTGACTTAGGGGGGCAGGTGCATGGGGAGACCGGACAGCCAGACAGCAAGGGAAACACAGGTTCAAGGGAAACAGGTTCATACGAAAATTCATCTGGCCACTTGGTCGTTTGCCGGAATCAGAGACAGACCATCCTCATTCTTTGCATCCTGCCCCCCCACCCTGCCCCCACCTTGCCACCCCCAGCCCCACTCGCACGCAGCAGGGCCAGGCGGACCCAAAGCCTGCCATCTCCTCACTCAACAGTACCTTTGGGTGGAAGCTGGCAGTGGGCAGCGAGGTGGTAGAGCCGTGGGGGGTGTGGGGGGAGACGGTACAGACTTAGGCTCTGCGGACACCCCAGCCCCCCGAAGCCCCCTGGCTGGGCTAGGTAGAGACCCAGCCAAGCCATCTATAAGCATCTCACGGAATTCAAAGCAACACACTCCATAGGCAGTTGTGGGGGGACCATTGATGGCTGTCACACGGAAGCTGGGCGCTAATGACGTGGCTTCACCCGTGAATTTGGGTCCCAGGAAGTAAGCTGGTTGACTTCTCTTGGGAGAAGGGGGCAGGGAGCATAATCGGCTCTAACTGATGTCCGGGAAGCTTGGAGTCCCTATCTCCTCTGTCACTCCGAGGCCACCAGGCAGCCGGCTTGGTCCCAGGGAGAGCATTTAGCTGCTGAATGTCAGATGATCCTGGTTTCTCTCCCTCGTCACTCATCGTCACCAAGGCCACTGTTTGCCCTGCCCTAATGTGTTCAAGCATTTCACATACGTTCCCTCGTTAATTCTCACAGCAGCGCTTTAGGCAGGTAGGAGGGACTATGCATCATCGCCGTGGGCTTGGGGTGGGGGTGAGGGTTCGGGGGCACCTCCCAGCCTAGGAGATGTCAGAGCTGGGGTCTTGGATTCAGACTTGTCAGACCCCATGACCCACATTCTTCCCGTGACCCTCACCACCGTGCCGGTGGTGGCTGAGCCACCCTGGCTGCAAAAAGGAAATCATATATGGAGGTCAGCATCTGGGGAGGAGGTGGGGAGAAGCCAGTGCAGAGAGAACCAGAAGCAACAGCTGGCGATGTCTTGTTTTCCCCTCCCCTCTGCTTTGCGCCTGGGCTCCCCTCCCCTCTGCGCCTGGGCTCCAGGGAACACAAGGAAAATAGGCGAGGGCCCCGGTGAGGAGGGTTCAGGCGCAGCGGAATCCTGCTGCCCGCTTTGCCTGGGACCCCCGGGGTCCCTCTCCCTGCGGAGGCCGGGTCATGACCGTCCAGCAGACATCCGGGTCCTGGCGTGTAGCTGGACCCGGCTCTAAGTGCAGGTGGCCCGCATAGGCAGGTGGCCCAGACTGTCACTCTTCACTGTGGGAAGAGGCAGGCACGGCTCCAGCCCCCAGGAGCTTGGGCTGGCGGGAGGGAAGGCGAGCCCCCCCCCTTCTGTGCTGGAACTGAGGGGAGCACCTTAGGTGCCAAGAGGCACGTGTGGATTTCACCTGTGGACCTCAGCGGCAGGTGGAGGGGTTCGGGGTCGCCCGCAGGCCCAGATTCCCTCGGTACAGAAGGATAGTGGGATCTGGACTTGGGAGAGAAGGCGTTTGGGTGGGAGAAGCGGCCTGAGCAAACAGCTGGCACTCAGCTGCCACCCCAGGACATGTTGGCCAGATGTGAGGGGGTCGGGAGAAGCAGGGGGAGTTTTGGGGGAATCGAGCATCTTGACCTGCGACAGCCAGACATCAAGCAAAACCCGTCCCAGTGGAGGTGAGCCAGAGGGGTGAGCGTTCTGTCGCCGTATGTGGGAGGGAGGCCGGGTCGACTCTTCCCGCAGAGGTTTGACTCATGTGCGTGTCGATCTGTGTCGAGCAGACAGCCGTCCCCTCGGCGATGGCGGCCCCTCCCACTCGGGCAAAGTTGTAATTATCACACAGCATGTTAGCCGAGGTGAAGGCTGCGCGCCAACGAGGCAAATGGCGCAGGGGTGTGGTCACGGAAGGAACGAGTGAGGCCCCCGGGGAGCCCCTCCCCTGTGCCAAGCTGTCTCACCTGCTGGCTGCAGCCCAGCGGGTGCCACCACCTCCTGTTGTGACCCGGAAAGTGAGTTCAGAGAAGTCAGTGCCCGGCCCAAAGCTGTTGAACTAGACAGAGCCCCGGGCACCTTGCTGCCAGGCATGGCATGTTTTCCTGGCCATATGTTGATTCAGTCACCCTTGGCAGTTCCCATTGTTCTAGGCAGAGAGGCCCATTGTTCCAGAGCCTGCAGGACCCCCACACCCACCCCAGCTCATCTGTGGCCACTCTAGGTCACCTCTGCCCTCCTCCCCAGCCTGACCAAGCACCTTGGCCTTCATTGAGATCCTTCAGCGCCCCCTCAAGCTCTTTTGCCTGTGAGGACCCTCTGTCCCCAGCCTGTTCCCCAGCTTGCTCCTGGGTTTTACCTCCACTACCACTTCCTCCAGGCAGCCTTCTTAGATTCCTCCAGACTACTTTTAATCCCGCTTTATAGGTTCTTACAGTCTCTACTCTGTTTCTTCATCACATTAACCAAAACAGGAATTTCTCGAATTATTTGGGTAAGGATGTATTTATCATCTGCTCTCACCCCGGACGGTGAGGCAGCTCCCTGGAGGCCGGGGAGGGCACCAGGCAGAGCTCCAGCGCTCGGCACCACACCTGGCCTGCAGTTGGCCTTTAATACAGATTCCGGGGGTGAAGGTGAATAAATGAATGCATTGCTCTCCCGGTCTGTGGAGGGTGGGGTTCTGAGGAGCCCGGCCCTCAGCTGCTCGTCCCAGTGCCTAGCACACAGTAGGCGCTCGATAATGCTGGCTGGGAGGAGGGAGTTCGGGATGCAAATGCGAATGGGCCTCCCGCGGATGGTACTAGAACATAGAAACCACCCGCAAGAAGGTACGCTGGAAACTAGAGGGACAGGGAGAGCAGGAGCCCTTCCTGCTGCTGATGCACTTTTTTCAGGAAAATAGGATAAGCAGGTGGGAGTTACCGCGTCTCCAGGTACTCCTGTGAGTTGAGTCAACACTTAGGGGGCATGGACATTGCTGGGGCCCAGGCACCTGACGCGCTCTCTCTATGTGGTGCATCATGTCTGGTATCTGTGCTGTAATACTAGCCTTTGGATTGCAGATGGGGACTAAAGTTTCCCTAGGCTCGCCCAGTGCCTGGCACATAGTAGGTGTTTTATACCTATTAGCTGGAAACATGCCCAGTACAGGGGAAGAGCTTGGTGAAGATCCAGTGGGCAGGAATACCATGGCTGCCCATGGTGAATTCCCTGGTCAAAACTCTTGGGTCAAATGCCTTTTTCTTGGACCCCTGGATGCACATAGTAGGTTTGCCTCGAGGAAACTGAGAAGATTGTCTCTGACCCCGAACACCTGGTTCTCTTGTTGAGCGGCAAGACGGGGCCACTGGGACCTGACGTATACCGTACTTCCCACCAATGCCCCAACGCCGCAGCCCCATGAAGTAGTAGGGGTGGGGCTAATAACCCATTTTACAGATGAGCAAAACTGATTCGAGACATAAAACACTTGGCTAACGTTGCCAGCTAATCAACCAGGAGCCAGGATACAGCCCAGGCCACTGGCTGGGTATCTTTTGCCGCAGCCCTGGGTGAACCAACTTTAGTGGATGATCAGAGATACATTCCCCATCAGCCTCAAAGACATGGTCAGAAAATTAGCCTCCTTGTGCATGAAAGAAAAAAAGGTGCAGATACCTGAGAGCTGGACGGAGAGCAGCCCTGTGCCTAGAAAGCACTAGAAAGGGGGTCTGGATAGCAGGTCTCAGCCCAGGTCTGACACGAGCGTTCAGAGGACCTTTGGCAACTCCCAGACCTTGGGGTGCTTGGAGAAGGGCCTCCGTTCCTTCCCGGAAACCCTATGACTTTAAAAAATACGTGGTCTGCTTTCTATTTAAAATGCTCAGTTGTTTTTATTCTTGTAGATGAGATTCCAGTGTGTCTCTCTAATATCCGTCCTACTATTTGTAAGCACACTCCAACCCACGTGGGCATATTGGATACAATCTCTCATTTCCGTTGCTGGGTCTGAGGTCATGGCTTGCCTAAATCCACGTGCGGAAGGCTCGGGGTGGGGGTGGCTGTACGCCGAGCTATGGAGACCTCCCGGTGGCACCAATTCAAAACGTGTGTTTATTTTTCAGGACTAGTCACAGTGACTCCAGCATTTACATTCGACGACATACTAACAGGTCTTTGGAATCGGTTAGTATGTGAATTTCTTCTTCTGCTGCATGGCCCCCCCCGCTAATCAATCCGTTTCCGTCCTTCCTCCTCCCAGCCCAGAGCTTTGAAATTACTGATGCGCAGCAAACCCACTTTTGGATAGAAGACAAGCAAATTCAAACCTTGTCGTTAGGCACAGTCCAACCGGATGTCCAATTGGGGCTCTAGGGGATGTAAATAAAGTGCTGATTGTAAAGCTCGAAGTCCTCTTTGTTGTACAAAACGCATCCAAGACCTTCCACCCAGCCCCGCACACACAGTAGAAAGATCGCCCTCAAAGACAGAAGTGCATTGTGGGTGGTCTACTTTACCTTTGCAGCTACTTAGCTCTGGATGTGTTGGGACCCCAAGCACCATGGCCCCATTCGGGTTGTGGGTCATGAGGCACCAGCCGGGGGGGTTTGGGGGGTTGAGGCACCAGCCGGGTGGGGGGGGGTTGGGCGAGAGGGCAGAACACCACAGAGTGTCAGTCAGCAGTTGATTTGGGAACTGTTTACAAATATTGAGAAAAAGCGTGGCATGCTCGGCTTTGTATGTTTAAAATCGTTTTATTTTCTGTTTCAGAGATTTCATCTTTACTAATTGGGTTGCGGGGGTTTTGTTTATAAATTTCACTGTAGGACCATTTTAACTATGTTCAATTGAGGAATGCAGCAGATCTGGATGACAGAAGAAACCGAACGTTAACCAGGTCGGTGCCTTTACTCCGAGATCTGTGGGGCTTAAGATGTTTCTTTCTTTTTCAAGTATGCAGCCTACCTGGTGGGGCTGGGGGGGGTGGGGAGAGGGGGGATGGCTACACTTAGGCTTCCTTGATGGCCATAGTAACAGTCTGAGGTCACACCTGCTCCAGAGCAAATGAACAGACGCAGGAGGGCGGGGGAAACTGATGAACGCTGGTGAGCGGGGCTCAGAAAAGGGGCTTGCGGTTAAAGCCGGGTCTGGGTCACGAGCCCGAAGCTGCATTTATACGCTGCCCGGGTAGAGCCTGGCAGTAGTGACGCAAGGCTGTGTGTGTTCTCTGCGCGTTACACCTGACGACGTGTCTGTTCTGTGTCTCCACTGCAGGTACAATACTCAGAAGCTCACTGAGCTGATGTTACAGTTTTATGGCATCAGAGCAGACATGAAGAGGGAGTGCAAACATACCAAGATGTCTCTGAAAGTATTTCTTGCCGTTCGAGAACTAGATGGCGTAGTCTGATATTGCTGAATTGCTGTTTAGGACCTAGGAAACCAGAGCAGTCTCGAAAACTCTGACAATCCTGAGATGCTCCCATCCCTGTTAAAGTTATTGAATCACTTAATTTCATTAATTTTTTTTTTTTCTGGTAAATATTTGCCACGGATTTCAATTGGCGTGGTAGGTCTTAGATGATTAGAATGGAAAGTCTCTCTGAGTATCTTCTAACACCCACAAGTGTAATCGTCAGAAGCTCACCCCTGTCTGGCTTTTAAAAAAAGAGGCAAGACATATTTCCCTCCCCTGCCATAAGATGGAAATGTTAACTCACGCGGTCCACCAGGCATGATATATTCCGAGGAAAGAAGCGCCTTTCACTCTGAGGAGATAGAGACTTGGAAAACTTAAACCAGAAGGTTAAAGAATGCAGTCGTGCTTTCCGTGTTTTTGGAGCATTGACTAATCCCTTTGTATTAAGAGTAGAGTTTACATTTTTTTCTAGAGACAGTTCTAAGAAAGAAAAATTCTGTCCGTTGTTACATGTGAACCCGTTTCTAAGCCAAACGGCAGATGTTTAACCCACTGTTGGCCTCGCTTCTTCCTGTATCAGGAGATCATTCCGGGATGATGAGATCGTTTCCACGGCTCATAATCTCCACAGCATGCCCCAAATGACCACCCTAGGAAGCTCACACTCTAGGCTTCTATAAGCAGAGACCCCCAACCCCCTTGCATTTGGATGATGGCTCCAGCCCTTTCCTTAGCGAGAACTGGACATTATCCACCAGGGAGAGGCAAAATGTCACTTTGACCCCATCTTCTATAAATTAAAAGAGGGAAGACAAGTCTGACCAGAAGCAAATCTAGTGATTATTTCCAAGGTTCTGTCCCAAAGCCAAAACCAAAAATTTGGTGTAGGCGGGGGCAGGAGGGCGTTGCCTTTGTTTCTGAAGGCTGTTTTTAAATGATCTATAATCAGGGAACTCTGTTCCTTTAGATTATGTAAGACATCCCCTCTGTCACAAACAAGTGGCACAGCGCCATCAGCCTCCAGCTGTGTGTTAAGGCCACCGTGGTATAAAGGAAGGTGTCCTGGACCGGGGTGGGGGTGGGGGCGTAGTTATTGTGTGGCCCTGAGCCAAGCCCCTGAAACCAGTGAGTCTCATCATGCCTACCCTCGCAATGCGACTGACTGCTTTCCCCCCCTTGGGCTGCGCAGACAAACTGGGCCCCTATGAAAGAGTCTACGTGGCACCCCGCGGGGCCTCTTGACTGGCCTGCTGGGGAGCCCTCGACTCTCCAGATGGGCAGTGAGGTTGCAGGCAGGGGAGGTCCATCCCCCACCGAGGACCCACTTGTGACTGCCTTGCCTGCGTCTTCCCTTCTGCAGGAAGGCCAACGACTCCGGCGAAGCCATGTTGCAGAAGAGCCGGAGCCCAAGGAGCGACTCTCTGACACAGTTTGTCCAGCAGCCGGATATGATGTATTTTATTCTCTTCCTCTGGCTCCTGGTTTACTGCCTCCTGCTCTTCCCCCAGCTGGACGTCACCAGATTCTGATGCGCGTGTCTGCATAATAAAAACGACAGGCTCCTGACTGGGGGGCGGGAGCCCTTCTCACTTCCCTTTCGCTGGGGTCTGGATGGGGCGCTCTGCGGACGGCCTCCCCGCTGCTGCCTCCGCTGGTTCCCTTCTCGCCTGTAAGTCCCAAGCATGCTCTTCTCTTCCGCTGCGTCCTCAAAACTCAGGTGTCTGTTTGGCCGGATCCTTAGGCAGAGTGTGTTCCTGTGTGCCTTGCTCTGTCAGGTATGAAGCGTCCTTGTTAATATTTAGCCATCGCCTGGGTCCTGGCTCGTCCCGCGTGTCGGTTTTTGAGGCCCAGGATGGACTTGAGTTACTGGCCTCTGAGAGGAGGGCCGTCCTGATGGGGCTGGTAGGGGGTGCCCCACACGCAGAGCCTCCACTGGGAAGAAAACTGCGGCGTGTGCCTCCCAGAGCTGGGCTTTGAGGGAAGGGGCCGGGTGTCCGTGCACCTGTTGGGGTCTGGCGGTTGGTTCCGTCCGGGCCGCACACCCCGGAGCGGCAACCCCAAGGAGCAGAGTGAGGGCTGGGAGGCGAGCTGTAATGCCCTCTCTGTTTTCTTTTTCTTTCTTTCTTTTTTTTTTTTGGGTTGGGGACAGAGGTGTCAATTCAGTTTTGGGTTGATTGAATTAAGGTTAAAGCTGTGATTTTCAAATATTTTCCACCAACAGAACCCTCTTTGAAATGAGTTCATAGCAGGGGAGAGTCTAGACGGTACATTAATCGCCGAGCTCAGGCGACACGGGGCGGGGCCCGGCATCCCTCCCACTCTGCCTGGACAGCGCCCCCAGCACCCAGGACAGCTCCTGAGGCCTCTGTGCCCATCTCCGAGGCCCCACGGGGCACTGCGGTGAGCTCTTCAACAGCCCGAGGAGGAGCACAGGAATTGCTGGGCTCGGAATCAGTTCCGGCTGCTGTCAGGGCTGGAAGGGGTCCGGCAGGCTTCTGCCCTCCGTGCACACCAGCCCCTGCATGTGGTCTCAGCACAGGCGTCCTTACTGGTCGGTCATAATGGGATTCTCGAAGACTTTCCAAAAGGTACCCCAACAAGTAGACCAGAACAGGCAGTTTGTGAGGAGACCTCCCCCCACCCTCCCGTCTTCTGCTCTGTACCACCCTCCCCCCCGCCGTTCCCTGCCAAGATGCAGGTCCCGGTGACACGGTATTGCTTCCTCCTCCCATGGTCCGCCTCTCTCCAAGCGGTATTCGTAAAAATCACAGCCAATTAGGTCAGGAGAGGTCCTCAGACAGCTTCTCATCTGCTGAACCCAGAGAGGCAGAGCGGGCTGACCGAGGTCACACAGCAGCTAGGAACAGACTTGTAAGCACACTCGTGCCCCCTGATGCCGAGCCCAGAGCCGTCCCCTCTTTGACCAAACTTGTCTTGGGCCCGTGAGTATCCTGGAAAAAAAAGATTAAATGATTAGATAAAAATGTCCTCGTTTAGACAAAAGCAAAATGTGGGGCCAGCTACAACCTTTCCCTTGTTCTTGTATTTTTCCCGTGAGGAAGCTGCGTTCACTTTCACGCTCGTCCCCTGTGACATCTGGAGTGCCCTTGATAGCTCGGACAGCTTGTAGGTGACAAGCCAGCCATTGTTCCCCCGGCAGAAATCACGGTTCTCTCTCGGCAAGCCAGAGGCTGTCTCCCTTCAGGGAGTGGGTTTCAAGTGTACAGAATTCCAGTGGCCAGAAGAGTTTCCAGAGCATGTTTTAGTCGATGACATTCCAACATCCCATCCCGGCGACGGCCTGCTTCTTCTCCTCCTTAGTTCTTAGAACGAATCTGAGCCTTCCAAGCTGAAAGTTGTCAGGAGCTTGGAGTGGGTCCATCTTGAGGGCCAAGTGTGTCATGGAAAATGAGCTAATTAATGAGCTCCCCAGCATCGCAGGCAGCTAGGAGGTACAGATAGTAAAGATCAAGGGTGTGGTGTTTTATAATCCTGGGCACCATGTGGTCCTTGCCTAAACTAGATGTTGGAGGAGCCAGGGAGGAGCCCATCCAAACACGAATTTTACGGGTCTAGACCTTGTTCAGAAAAATCTCTGCAGGTTTCTTCTCTCACCGATTAGAGTGTGTAATATTGTTTAAAACCATCCACTGGTGAGATGCCTAAAAAATCACTTGGTTCAGGCTGACTGTAAACAGATTTTTTTCTTTAAAGGGGGAAAAAAAAAGTCTCCATTTGAGTGTAGGCTCACATGGAAGAGAAAGTTGGATATAAAAGGTGGATACAGAATCTTTCAAGACAAACCACCCCGTGGCTTTTAATTTTTTTCTAAGAATCAATTTTTAATTCTTAGCAATACATGTTCATAGTTTTTGAGGAAACAAATACTATACGGTTTTTAAAAAAATTTTTAAATTATATTTTGACAGAGAGAGAGAGAGAGCGCAAGTGGAGGAGGGGCAGAGAGAGAGAGACGAGAATCCAAAGAGCTCTCAGCACAGAGCCTGACATGGGGCTCAAACTCATGAGCGTGAGATCATGACCTGAGCCGAAGTCAGACTCTCCACCGACTGAGCCACCCAGGTGCCTGTGTACGTTTTTTAATGAAAACCAGCAAGTCCCTAAATCTGGCTCCCTAGATGCAATGCTTTCAACCCTTTTGGCCGTATCTGGTTATCTACCTTTGCATTTCTACACAATATGCTGCCACTTATTTTGTTTTTATACTTGATGCAGAAACACCTCTGACTTGCTGGTGTGGTAGATGGGGTCTCACCTTCTCCACCCGCTACTTTGCTTTCCTTGTGTGGTCACAGCATGTTGTTTCACGCGTCTCTAGTTAGTGTTAGTGCATAAAGACCATTCACTCCTGGGCCAGGTGACGTACTGTGATTACACGGCCTTTCTTGCCCAATTCTCCCCCTTGATTCAATCATCTTTTTGTGTGTTTTTGTTGTTTGTTTTTGGTGTCGCACATTCTATAGTAACTTCCTGAGAAAAGTATCATGGGAAGTCAGTATTTAAATATTTTGAGGTTGTACAGACTTTAAAATATCTTGATTCTGCCTGTACCCAGGGTATGGGATTGCAGGTGGAGAATACCTCTCTCCACCCCCACCCCTGCCAGTGTAGTTGTTGAGATCTCTGGCCCCATCCGGATGCCCAGGCCTCTACGTGTGACCTGGGTTTCTCCCCATTTCCCAGGAAGCAGTCAAGATTCCTTCATTTTTAGTGTTCCGAGCTGTCCTGATGGTAGTGTGTCCTCAATAGTGTGAACCTCGTGCTGGGCTCTCATGGGAAATTTCTTAAAATCTTCTCATAAGGGTTCACATCCTTTCTTTCTGGACCACCTGTTCGTCCAATATTGGACCTTCTGTGCTATACTCCTTAAATTTTTTTTTTTTATCTTTTCCATTCATAGTCTCTTTGTTTTGGGGATCTGGTTTCAGGGCGAGGTACTCAGCTCATGTTCTCGTGTATATGATGAAGGGCAAATGCTTAACTTCCAGAACATTTTGTTGCTGTTCTCTTGTTTACATTTTATAGTATCCTGTTCTTGGTTCATGGATGCAAATCTTCTCTCTCTGTGGATGTCCATGATTAGTGGGTCTGGGGAAGCTCTTTCCTGCTCCCTGTGTTGGCTTTGTTTTCTTGAAGTTTCCTGCCTCTTGGTTAGTCGCAGGCTCTGCCGTTCACTTTACAGGCTTTCTTCAAATATCTGGTGGCTCTGTGGATCCATTCATACTGAAGAGCGACACATCAGAAAACGGGCTGGAAGCTCTTTGTCAACCGGTGGGCTTTTCTGTGTTGCCACCGGGAGTTTTCATCAGAAGACTCCACTTATCAATTGCAGGTCTTTTCTGGGGCTTAATGTGTTTCTTTAGAGGTATCTTCACTTCTCTCCTGCCTGCAAAAGAGGGACGTAATAGAGCTGCTACTGACCGATGTAGTGTCCTCCTATAATTTCAAAAAAAGCCATTCCCTCTGGATGAATGGCTTCAAGAAGGATGTCCCCACCAGGCAGAAGCCATCCATGAGCGCTTGGCTTTGGCTGGCAGATGGCATCTTTTGCCCCTTTCCCCCAGGAGATGTAGACCTGAGCAAGGACAAGACTTTAGGAGCAGAGCAAGGACTAGATTTGTAACTCTCAGTCATTCCCTTAGCCAAGCGTCTTTGTGCAGTGCCCAGACTTAGAGCTGTGCCTGGAGATCCTAGCACGCACCTGCGTGCTCCCGTCCTGAGCGGGCGGGCATTCTCTTCACAGTCAGTACTTAGACTCATTGAATTGCTCCTGCCTCACGGTGCTTGGTGTCCGTGGGCCGTAGCCCCGCCCCTCTGGAGTAGGGCTGCAGCCGGGACTGGTGCGCCTCTGCCGGGTGTGCTGGCCGGTCCTCTGCCCCGCCCTCCCCTCCAGCAGCTCAGCTCCTGCCACGAATGGGTCGGCATCTTTCACCTCCTCTCATCCCCTGTGCCTCCCACTGTCTTCATGAGTGCAGAGACTCTCTGTTCCTTTGCTCTTGTTCTTGTGGGGTCTCACGTGGGACGAAAGGAACCCGTGTGCTCCACACGCCGCCTTGAACCGCAGATCCCACTTGAGCCTTCTCATGGCATCGTTAGGTGGCTTGCTGTTCTGTGCACTCACCTGTGGACCCGCCCTACGAACCTGGCCGGGGCTCGGGCCGTGGCCGTCTGCTGAGCCGTGGCCGGCCAAGTGCCCTCGCGTAATTCTGTGCCAGGCCCAGAAGAGGGTTATGAAGGGCGTGCGAAATGCCCCGTAAAGAAGTGATTCTCCTTCCTTTCCTCCTCACCCGCCCCTTGCCCCCAGACACCTGGATGTCCGATCTCCCCTCAGGCTCCAGTGCAGGGCGTCCCATGGTCCCCGGGTCCCGCTCACCACGCTTGCTGCCTTTCCGAAGCAGGTGGTCGGTCCACGCTCGTGTCTGCTGGCGAACAGGGTGTCCTCTATGTTGGTCGGCTCTTCGAAACTTGGTGAGCTTCCCCTCCTGTCCTGGCCAGACCTGGCCTCTGTGGGGAGAGGGGCTCCTGCAGGGAGTACACCGTCACTGCCCACGACAGCCACCGGGACACTCACTGCTTCT